GTTGAAACCTGTGCATCTCCATCCAATTGGCTGACTAGAGTCAGAGCCCCTCCCTGTTGCTGGAGCCAGCCTCAAATCACTCAGCCCTCAAGGACACATGCCCTACAGGCAAGCTTGCTCAACCAAAGTTAGTACTGGATCTTTTTAAAATCAGACAGGCCACCATTAAACAACAAACAATTGGGAACAGATAGTCTTGTGATTTGCTGGTCTTTGAGCTGTGTATTTCTTAAAAAAACTATTTGACCAAATTGGATGAGGAAAAGCAGCTTAATAGTTCAACAGACAAGACTGTGTTTTAGGAAATCTACCCATATTTGTACCATTTCTCAATGCCTTCCATAATTTTTCAATACTTTGAGAAATTTCTAATAAAATTATTTATCAGTATAGCCACCTGAAAATATTTAACTTAATTAAAGATTATCCCAAAAGTTATACATTGCTTAAATATATGCCTGATGTTTAAAAAGCCCTAGATTTCTCATTTCCTCAATTTTTTCTTTTATGAACTAAATTAAAAAATTAAAAATCACAATACAATTTGACCATTTAATTTGATAGACAACTACTCAGAGACTAGAAAATACTTCACAATAGCAAGAATGTGTTTTCTTTCTTTTATGCATTAAATGGCTTTGTCTTTATATCACCATGATTTTTAAGTTTAAAAAAAAGTATTAGGAAAGTGTATTGAATGCTGTAGAAACCAAGCTGAAACCCTCTAAAAGGGGTGAACCCTCAGTTTCCTTTTTATTATTATTACTATTTTTTGGTAACAGTGTAACTTCCCAAACTTTAAGTTGATTAGAACTAAAAGTATCTATCCAGATTGTTTGACAGGAGAGGTCCATTTAAATGTAGACCATTGCATTTAAGGCTCTTGTCTTTGACTAGCCCAGCCCCTCTCTGAGGTCATTATTTGAAAGTATACCCTAGCTCACTGTAAACAGAACAGCCTTGTAGATGATCTGTCATTTTAATGTACTAAAATGAGCTAGTAACCATCCTGTTCTCTTTGTTAAAGAAATTAGTTTCTTAATTGTAGGAATTAAGATGTAGAAATTATGTATAACACAAATTTTAAGACGTTTTGTAGGACAATGATCATTGACTACATCACCTCCAAGACTGAAATGCACACTATGTCCTTTGTTTGAAATTCATGGGCTTTCTCCTATGCTTGCATCTCTCTCACAGGTGAAGAGCTTGAGGAATTTGATTACGTAACTGCACAAGACCCCTGTGAGCCAGGATGTTTAATGAGGATAGACCGCCCAATTAGTTTATCGTCCCAGTGGGAATCAGGATGTTGACCAAAATGCTCAGTTGGGTCTTTTTGTATGATAAGAGAGAAATAATGATAAGAGAGAAATTTGCAATCATCTCTGTGTCTTCCTCAGGTACCAAGGAAGGAAAACGGTAGTACCTCGCCTTCCTGACGCTAGGGCCAGGTGGGAAGAAGGCATCTCATGGAGGGTCTGATTGTAACTCCTGATAAATTGTGATTGATGTGACATGTGTCCTTCTGCTATTCTCTTAGGGCTGCCCACTCATGACTAGCTAACTGCCTACCACAATTCCTAGTAGTGAAGTTGCTATATCAAAGGATACTTTATTTAAAAAGTTTGATATATGTGACTCACTTGCCTTCTTACAAGTTTATTGAAATAGATGATACCACCAGTAATTTGTGAAAGCCACCCTTCCCCCATATTCTCATATCCTTGTCAACATTGGGTATGTGTCTTTTTCCTTCTTTTTTTTTTTTTTTTTAATTTTTGGAGAGGTTTTTGCTATAGGGTGCGTGCGTTCGCCAGACAGACAGAGAGAGACAGAGAGATAGAAAGCGAGAAATCACCCCCTAGAGGGGATGGCCACGCTGCAATCCCTTCTCCTCCATTCTCCTCTCGGGATCTTGGGCACGCACACACACGCACCTGATGTGAGTTTAAGCCCCTGGGTCCGGGACTCGAACGGCGGTCGACTGCATGGGAGTCCACCGACATAGCCATTACGCTAACTGCTAGTCCCTCTTATTCCTTCTTTGGCAGTGTACTGTATTTCATTGCTCTAATTTACATTTCTCTAATAAAAAGGAGGTTACATATTTTATAGGTCATTTGTTTGTTTCTTACAATTGCCCTTTGAATTTCTTTGCTTGGTTTTTAGTTATTTCTTTAATTTTAGGAGCTGTGTGTGTATTTTTTAATTGCCAGAGGGTGTGTATGCTTACCAGAGAGAGAGAAAGAAAGAGAGAGAGAGAGAGAGAGAGAGAGAGGAAACACTCCAAATGGGGTAAGTTATTGTAAGGAATGGTCCAACCACGCAAAATAGACATGTAGAGCCTTTATTGGGAGTGCTCCTGGGCGAGGTTCGCTGGTCTGACAGAAAAAGAGAGAGGAAGAGTTGGACCAGAGAAGTTGCATGCTAGGGCGGGGTTTAGCGATTTTTATAAGGGTTTAGGGAGGGGGAGTCTTAGAGGTAGGAACAGTTCATGTATGCTAAAGGTTTAGGGGGAGAGCTGGCTAGTGTGCCACGTAACATCTGGTGACGTGTGCAGTGTAGAGTCCCATGTGCAGAGTAGAGCACATGTGCTATGTCTGGGTTAGATCCGAGTGCAGTGCAGGTCTGATGACAGACTAGTTCCAGGTTACATCAGCCAACTGTGGCATGGTGTCCCAACTCCCACATCTAAGCTGCCCAGGCCTCTGACCCAACAATTATGCCACAGTCCCTTCTTCATTTCTCCATCCTGTTGGGATGTTGGTCAAGCATGCACACGTGTCCAGCTTCTTTTTCATGCTGCCGGGACAGGGATTCAAACTGCATTTGGTCACATGGGATCCAGTTCCCTTAGACGCTAGCCATGGGGCTGGCTAGAGGAGCTCTGTATATATCAAGTAATGGTCCTTTGTTATGTATCTTAGAGAGGTTGCCTGTAGTCTGTCACTTATATTTTGTTATAATATTGTTTGTCAAGCAGGAATTTTCTCTTTTTTCATGAGAGACAGCGTGTGCAAGCACATACGTGGGGAGGTTTCTATTTTTTGATGGAGTCTTACCACATCAAATTCACCCTGCTCTGTATGGTCTCTCAGTTAACTGGGACCTCAGGTATGTGTATCACAGCTGGTCTTTCTAGGCAGAGCTGGGAACTGAACCTCAGTCTTCCATCCAGCCTCAGCAGTTGTGTAGAGAGAGACTTGCGTTTGCGCCATTCCAATTGCACCAGGAATTTTCTATTTTAAATGGTCCTACTTGTCATTTTCTTTCCTTTATACCTTTTGGATTTTGAGTCTGATTTTACGGGATGTATCCCCCCCTCCCCTCCAAATGATCATCTTAAGATTATAAACAGTTCAGGGACCAGCAGTTAGCGTAATGGCTATGTTGTTGGACTCCCATGTAGTCAACCACGGTTCGTGTCCTGGACCTGGTGGCTTAAAACTCATGCCGGGCTTGTGTGCATGCGTGCCCAAGATCCCAAGAGGAGAATGGAGCTGAAGGGATTGCGGTGTGGTCATCCCCCAGAAGGATTTCTCACTTTCTGTCTCTCTGTCTCTGTCTGTCTGGTGAGCACATGCGCCCTATAGCAAAAAACCTCTCTCAAAAAAAAAAGAAAGATTATAAACAGTTTATCTCATTTTCTTTTGATATGTTTATGTATTTATTTATTTTAAAAAGGCCTCAGAAGCTTGGGGATACTGATATTCCTCATGTGATAGTGACTCCATTTGCAGAGAAAATCATGGTGAGCCTAGCTTTAGGTGGTGAGGTGTCCAGACCTGAAGATAACCAGAGATGATTGCTTATCTGAAAGGCATGGCTCAGAACTGGAAATGTGGATATGAGAGGCATTTCCATAGGTGTGGTATTGAAACCAGAGAAATGTTGAGAGAAATCAAGTCAAAGATGATTGTGGGATAAGGAAAGAACAGAACCACCTAGAGGGCTTCCCTCAGATGAGGGCACAGTAGTGTCAAATGCAGTGGGGATGCACGATGTTTGAGAGCTACTCACAGATAGGAGGGCACTGCTGACTTCTCAGACGGCAGAGAGCATGGAGGCAAGGGTCAGGAGCAAGCAGCAACCAAGTTTTCTTTTAATATCAACAGTTAAAAAATACTTAGAGCTCTTGGGACCAGCAGTTAGCGTAATGGCTATGTCGCCAAACTCCCATGTGGGTGACGGTGGTTCGAGTCCCGGACCTGGTGGCTTAAACTCATGCCAGGCATGTGTGCATTCATGCCCAAGATCCCAAGAGGAGAATGGAGGTGAAGAGACTGTGGCATGGCCATTCCCCCTGGGGGGTGATTTCTCACTTTCTGTCTCACTGTCTCTTTCTGTCTTTCTAGCGAGTGTATGCTCCCTGTAGCAAAAAAAAACCTCTCAAAGAAAAAAAAAAAAACTTAGCTCTTGGGGGCCAGCAGGTGGTGTGGTGGTTAAGGATGCTGGACTCTCACATGGCCAACTGCAGTTCAAATTCCAGACCTGGTGGCTTGCTTTCTCACTTTCTTTCTCTAGCTTTCACTCTGTCCCTCTTTGATCAAATGAAAATAAATAAATGTAAATAAAATAATTCTAAAAAAAATTTAGCTCTTTAATAAATTTTGAATTATTTTTATAGAAAATGTAAGACTATAAACTTTGTGTCCCACATGAATTTCAAATTATCCCAACATCATTTACTTGTTTTTTTATTGCTTTAAAATATTTTATTATGTTCTTAATTTCCATGTGTAAATGCATTTGTTTTTATACTTTCTACTACTATGTTGATTTGTTTGTTCTTACACTGTTGTCATACTGTTTTGCTATCTGACATGGAAAATCTTAATTCTTTTTTCCCCCCAAAATTTTTTAACTAAACTTAAACTTTGTTTACTTTTCCAGAAGAACTTCATAATTTGTTAAGCCTTATCTTCATACTTTTGATTTTATTTTTATGTGTAATTTTTATTTAGTAACTCGTATCTCTTTTTTCTCTTACATTTCAGAGTCCTGACTGTGGCACCTCACATGAGCCAATTCAGTCTAGGAGGGTAGTAATTTCTCATAATATGGATAAAGCTCTGAAAGAAGGTAAGGATTACCTTAAATGAGAGTATGTAATTACCTTGGAAAGCAGTTCATTATGTTCTAAAAGGAAAACAATAACCTCTTGCAAATTTATTCTTCTTGTCTGCAAATAGCATTAGGAATTTTTTTCTTCGTGAGTTTGTGTTTGATGAATAATAACTACATCCATGTTTTGTTAGACTGGAAAGGATTTAAACATTTATTGAACAGGAATTTTCAGATCACACAACACTAGCTAGCCATGTGTAGCTAATTCCAGCACACGGTTCTGCCACGTTCCCTAAAATAGGTATCAGGAAACATTTTTTTTTTCTTCTAGATGCAGCCTGGAGAAGGAATGTGGGGATAAATGGACAGGCTCACTCACGGACAACCCAGTTAATGTCTGAGGTTTACATTGTGTTCAGTGTGAACTTAAGAGAGAACTCAATAAGTGATATATCCATAAATGAGTATGCTTTACTTGTATTGGGTTGTTGGAAAAGTCAATGGTGTATTGTTCTGTTTTTCTATGTAAAAATGTATCAGGCTTTTCTGATGACGCAGTAGTTAGTAGAAATATAAAAATTTGAAGATGAATAACAAATACAGAAAAAGTTGTAAATTGTATCGATTCCTCAATTTTAGAACTTTGGGCACTATTATTAAACTTTCAGAAATATTTCTATTATATTATTAGTTAAAATACAATGACTTTTATAAAACTTACTGGAGGGCCAGCTGGTGGAATAGGGCTTACGGTGGCTGGATACTATTGTATTTGGGTATTTGGCTGACAGTGTCTTTGGAGTCCTGGACTTGGCAGCTTAAGAAACATGCAGGGGTGTGTGTGTGTGTGTGTTACCCAAGATACTGAAGGGAAAGTAGAGGAGAAGGGATTGTGGTGTGGCCATTCCCTGTGGGGAGTGCTCTCTCACTTTCCTTCTCTGTTTGTCTGTCTCTCTCTCTCTCTGTCTCTCTCCAGTGAGCGCACATGCCGTCTACCAAATTTAAAAAAAACAGTACCAGATTTGAAATTTGACTTAATAGTCATAATCTCAAAATCATGTTTTTGTTTTTTTTATTTGAGAGGTTTTTCTATAGGGCGCGTGCACTCGCCAGAAAGACAGAGACAGAGAGACAGAAAGCGAGAAATCGCCCCCCAGGGGGAATGGCCATGCCACAATCCCTTCTCCTCTGTTCTTCTCTCGGGATCTTGGGCACACACGCACACGTGCCCGACGTGAGTTTAAGCCACTGGGTCTGGGACTCAAACTGTGGTCGACTACATGGGATCAGCGACATAGCCATTATGCTAATTGCTGGTCCCTCAAAATCATGGCTTTAAAGAATATTCTTAGTTGCTTTTATTGAGTTAAAGTTTATATACTTATACAAATCTTGCATAAAATTCAGTAATTTTCATAATTTATATAATATACAATTTATATGCTTCATATAAGCTTGTAACCATCATCACAGTCAAAGGATTTTTACAATCTTTTTTAAAAATTATTTTATTTAACTTTATTTATTTATTTTAATTTGACCAGAGAAGGACAGAGAGAGAGAGCAAGCCACCAGGTCTGGGACTTGAACCATGGCCAGCTGTGTGGGAGTCCAGTGCACTTAACCACCATGCCACCTGCCAGCCCCAAAATAAAAGATATTTCTGTGATCCCAGAAAACTTGCATTGTGACCCTCTTTTTTCTTTCTTTCTTTCTTTTTTTTTTTGGAGAGGTTTTCGCTATAGGGCACGTGTGCTTGCCAGACAGACAGAGACATAGAGACAGAAAGCGAGAACTCACCCCCCAGGGGGGATGGCTACGCCACAATCCCTTCTCCGTTCTCCTCTCGGGATCTTGGGCACGCATGCACACGCGCCCGGCATGAGTTTTAAGCCACCAGGTCTGGGACTCAAACTGCGGTCGACTACATGGGAGTCCAGCGACATAGCCATTATGCTAGCTGCTGGTCCCCCTTGTGACCCTTTTTGACAAAAAGCTACCTTCAGTTGCTTGAATTTTGTCATTATAAATTAGTTTTTATAAATTAGTTTTACTTGTTCTTAAAGCTTATAGAAGTTGAATTAAATAGTGTGTTCTCTTTTTTTTTTTTTTTTGGAGAGGTTTTCGCTATAGGGCACGTGTGCTTGCCAGACAGACAGAGACATAGAGACAGAAAGCGAGAAATCACCCCCCAGGGGGGATGGTCACGCCGCAATCCCTTCTCCTCCATTCTCCTCTCGGGATCTTGGGCACGCACGCACACGTGCCCGGCGTGAGATTTAAGCCACCGGGTCCGAGACGCGAACCGTGGTCGACTACGTGGGAGTCCAGCGACATAGCCATTACGCTAACTGCTGGTTCCCATAGTGTGTTCTCTTTTATGCCTGACGTCTCTCACTTGTCTAAATGTATTTGAGATTCATCCATATTGTGTATATTTGTGTTTATTCTTTGTTATTACTGGGTAGTATTACAGTATACTCATAAAACTGTATTATGTCCTTTCTCCTCTTGGAAGTTCAAGTTATTTCTAATTTTTGGAAACTTAAATGAATAAAATTGCTATAAACAAGTATTTCTGTGGACATAAGTTTTTATTTCTCTTGTATAAATACCTAGGTATAGAATTGCTGGGCCTTAGGAGAATTATGTGTTTAACTTTGTAAGACTTTGCTTTGGCAAATTATACCAAAGTGAGTGTATCTGTTTAGATTCCCATGAACAATGTATGATAGCGGGGCCCGCAGGTGGTGTGGTGGTTAAGGACGCTGGGTTTCCACATGGCGAACTGCGGTTCCAGTCCCGGACCTGGTGGCTTGCTTTCTCACTTTCTCTGTCTTTCACTCTTGCTCTCTCTCTGTCCCTAACTTATCAAATAAAAAATAAATAAGTAAAGTTAAATAAAATAATTCTTTTTAAAAAACCCAATATGATAGCTAAAGTTGTTTCATGTTATCACCAACATTTGCTGTTTCACTGTATTTTAGGCATTTTGAAGGGTGTGAAATAGAATCTTATTGTGACCTTAAATTGCATATTCCTGTTTACAGTGAAGTGGAACACCTTGTCATATGCTGTTGAGCATTTTCATATCTTTATGATGTATCTACTCAAATTTTATTTTTTTTGGAGAGAAAAAAACAATGTCTAAAAGTCTTTTTGATTTTTTTCTTTAAATCTTATTAGATCTGTTGTCTGATTTTCACTACTCTTTCCTGAATTGTCTCACTAATGTGGACCAGATAATTTAGTTTTGTAATTATTGAGGAGCATCTATTTGCTCAGTAGTGTCCTGAATGTTAACTTGAAACTTCTTGTATTGAAAACATTGTTCATAAGATTCTGTCCTTTTTAAATCATTCAGCATGCTCTTCACAGACTTTGTCATCAAACACTGTGTTAGAAATACCATTACCTTTATTTTTTGGTAAGGTTCTTTTCAAATGCAGTTAATGGTACATATCCATTTCAAATGAATATATTTGTTATGCTTTTGTTTTAAAGAATTATTTTTTAACATACATTTATTTATTTATTTATTTATTTATTTATTTATTTATTTTAATTTGACCACAGAGGAATAGAGAGAGAGAGAGAAAATGAGAAAGCAAGCCCCCAGGCCCAGGACTTGAACTGTGGTTGGCCATGTGGGAGTCCAGTGCCCTTAACTACCATGCCACCTGCTGGTCCTATATTTGCTGTTTTTTATAGGTTTTTGTGATTTTCTGGATTTCAGTGTAAATGGGCTTGTAAGTAAATTGTCTAGGTAATGCAAAGGGTCTTTTATAACAGAAGGTATTGCAAAGTTATCATTCAAGTATAACAAAACTTACAGTTTCTTCATTATTTTCCAGTTTGCTTGAAGGTGCATGCCATGAGCTCATGGGAGAGAGAGACATGGGGCGGGGGAAGAGAAGAAATGGGAAAGTAAGAGCCCTCTCCCCCCTCCACCATAGGGGATGGTCATGCTACACTCCTTCTTCTTGGGGATTTTGGGCAGGCATGCACACATGTGGCTTTTGTACTTTTCAAGATGCCACGTCCATGACTTGAACCATGCAGTGGAAATGTGGGATCTAGCCACCTTAACAACCACACCACTGAATGGATTCATTTTCTTTGGAATAAGTGCTAGATAAGGTGAACCCGATGTGGTAATCCATTTTACTGAGCTCTCAGTGTAGCCATTCCAGAAGATTTTAGGCTGGCAGAGAATCAAAACATATTTAACTTATTTCTTCCATGAGTCAGTTGTGAGGGTGGGGGAAGGAGAAAGAAATAGAGAGGCTAGACACTCCCAGTTGGGTTTTCAGGCTGTGATCCACTCCTGGTGTCAGTCAGCTAGCCTGGTTCGTGGGCTTGTGCACGAGTGCCCTGCATTCTCAGGGATTCCAAGCTGGGAAACCATGACCTTTCCCATGTGTTACTGCTGTGCCATCACCTGGTCTCTGTCTAAGTGAGACTAGATGGTGACAGAGGAAGCAGGGCTAACACCTGAAAGATGAGAACTTTTTCACCCTTTCAGGTTCAACTCATCTAGTTTGAGTCTCTCGACCTAGTCTTCCTCAATATGTATATCTTTTATTATTGAATCATTTACAAAAATTGATAACTCTAGATAGTCCCAGAAGATTACTCTTCATTACAATTTTTATTTTAAGAGCAAGAGAGATTTTTGCAATAGGGTGCATGCACTCACTGGAGAGACAGAGAAAGACAGAGAGAAAAAAATGAGAGATCACCCTCGGGGGATGGGCATGCTGCAATCCCTTCTCTCTTCATTCTCCTCTCAGGATTTTGGTCATGTACGTACAGGTGACCAGTGTGAGTTTCAAGCCACTGGGTCCGGGACTTGAACTGCAATCAGCCATGTGAGAGTCCAGCATCTTAACCACTATGCCACCTGCTGGCCCCTCCATTACAATTTTAAAACCATAAAAGGACATCTAAATGAACAATGCAGTTATTACTGTCTTTTTATCCTTATTCTACCAGTTTCTGCATGAGGAGAATCATTCCATAGACATTTATAACCCTTGGGGCTTCTACCTCATAGGTGGGGAAGATTGTATCTTAATTGCTTTCAGGAAAAGGCAGTGATGGAAAAAATGGCCATTTACTTAGTTTGCGTAATTTCTTCTTAAAATTTATAGATAGAGATGATCTTGGGTCTTGGTTAAGAAGTCTTTGCCCCAATATCTCCCAGAGTTTCCTCAGTGTTTTCCACCAGTAGTTTAGTAGTAGTCTTAGGTTTAGATCTTTGATCCACTTTGAGTTGATATTTGTTGACAGGGGGTTCAGATTCTTCTTTGTGCAGGTGGATACTCAGTTTTTCCAGCACCATTTGCTATAGAGGTTTTTCTTTTTCCACTGGATTGACTAGTACCCTTTGTCAAAGATGAGTTGGTTGTATATTTTGGGGTTTATTTCTGGGGTCTCTACTCTATTTCATAGGTGCTCATGTCTGTTTTTGTGCCAATACTATGCTATTTTGATTATCAAAGCTTGGTAATATATTTTGGGGTCAGCAAGTGAGATGTCACCCACTGCCTTGATTTCTTACATCTGGGTCAGAAACCATTTCTGCTTGCTTCTTAATGAAATAGTTAGGGATGAGTTGTAATTACTTTATACGAAAATCTAGGGGACCAGCAGTTAGCATAATGGCTATGTCGCTGGACTCCCACATAGTCGACCGTAGTTCACATCCCAGACCCGGTGGCTTAAACTCATGCCCAGCGCGTGTGCATGCATGCCCAAGATCCCGAGAGGAGTATGGAGGAGAAGGGATTGTGGCGTGGCCATCCCCCCTGGGGGATGATTTCTCGCTTTCTGTCTCTCTGTCTGTCTCTGTCTGTCTGGCGAGTGCATGCGCCCTATAGCAAAAACCTCTCCATAAAAAAGAAAAAAAAAATCTAGAAAACGTAACAACCATGTATTTAAATGAATATGTAGGAAATGGTAGAAAATGGCTAAGAGCTTTAGGGTATCATTTGTTTGCTAGTTTTGCTTTTTTTTTTTTTTTTTTGCCTTTTCTGTCATGGTCAAGTGGATATTGATTCCATCTTACTTACTGGAAGCCCTCTGTAAATATTTATTTAATGGATAGTGAAAGATAGAGGTGGTATCTTTTTTCCTGTTTTTGACAAGTAATTGTCAGTATCTCATTCCTATGACTGAAGCCTATGTAAACGCTGAGAATTCATCTAAACTTTTGTGTATGTCTGTGAGCAAAATTCTTGGTGCTCTGTTATATGTCCATTTGAGCTATGGGATTTAAGATAGAATTTTGTAAACTTTTATAAGCCTGCATTACAGAAGTTCTGGAAGTGTGGAAAAACATTGGCTATACTTTCATGGTTGCTGTTTTCAGAAAAAAAGCCACCACAGTATTAAAACAAGAATGGAATTTCCTTTGAATTATGGGCATTTGCAGATATATGGAACTCTCACATAGGGGGCTGTTGATCCTGAACTTAAAGTTCCGTTTGCCGTTCAGTTTTCTTTCCTTCCTTTTTTTTTTTTTTAATAATAATAATTATTTTTTAAAAGAATTATTTATTGAATTTTATTTATCCCTTACTATTTTTTTTTTTAATTTGAGAGAGACATCATAGAGAGAGTGATAGGGAGACAGAGAGAAAGAGGGAAAGTGAGAAAGCAAGCCACCAGGTCCGGGACTTGAACCATGGTCAGCCATGTGGGAGTGCCCAGTGTCTTAATCACCATGCCACCTGCTGGTCCCTAAATAATTATTTTTTATCTAACTTTATTTATTTGTTTGCTTGTTTTTAAAATTAATTTTTAATATGACTAGAGAGGGATACAGAGAGAGAGCGAGAAAGGAAGCCACCGTGTTCGGGACTCAAACCACAGTCAACCATGGAGTCCAGTGCCCTTAACCACCACACCACCTGCCAGCCCCTGCTATTCAATTTTCTAAGAAACATTTCTTCCCCTTTCCCCAAAAACTCCACCTAAATATATTATTTCTTTTTTTTTAAAGAATTACTTTATTTAACTTATTTATTTATTTATTTATTTATTGAAAATTTTCACCACAGAGGGAAAGTGAGTGTGAGAGAGAGAGAGAGACAAAGTGAGAAAGCAACCCGCCAGGTCTGGGACTTGAACTGTGATCGGCCATGTGGGAGTCCAGCACCCTTAACCACCACCTGCTGGCCCCCTAAATGTGTTACTCTTAAGCCTTTAAATTGGTATATGGTGGCCAAAATGAATAAAATGATCACCAAATTCTAGGCTAAAATATTACTTGAGAATTAGGTTAGTTTTGTGTGGCAGGTGTGAAGTAGTTCTGGTTTATGAGTTATACTTTGTTTTTCAGGATTCCCAGGGATTAAATATTATGCAGACAAGCAATGAAAAGCAGGAGAATAAATGATCTGAAATGATAAACGTTTGTTTCTGAAATTGAGCCAAATTAAGTTTTTTTTTGAAAAGTGAAATAACTTTGAGGGATAAGAAGTGATGAAAAATAGGACTGGAGAAGCCAGAGAGTGGCACAGTATAAAGCTTGGTGCTCTGTGAGGCAGTGCCACATGGGAAGGTTCCCAGTTCACACCGGGAGACTTCTCTTAGTACGGGGGGCATGCACGTGCCCTTGGTCTGGGGCTGGCTGAAGCTGGGGTTAGATGCGGCATCAAGGCCTCTTCTCTTTTCTTCTTCAGGCCTTCTCTCTTTTCTTCTTTCTTTCTCTCATGGAAGAAAGAAATAAGCTTTTTTGTTTGTTTGTTTGTTTGCTATAGGGCATGTGTGTTCAGGTTGCCAGGTCTGAGACTCAAACTCCTGTTGACCATGTGGGAGTCCAGCACCTTAACTACCATGCCATCTGTTGTCCCTGGCTCTCTTATTTCTGTATTAGACAGCACTAGTCTGGAACAAGAATTTTCTAATTCCGAGGCATAGAGTTGATCTCAAATTAAGACAATGGAGGCTGGAAATCTTCCAAAAAGCATGATCTACCACAGATGCTGGACCCAATCTGATAACTGAAGCTGGTTTCTGGGATTCTTACATTAGTGGAGGTCTCATTAGGAAAGAGAACCCACACAGTAATTGAATAGAGAAAGATAAATATAAAAAATTCGGACCAGATGGTGGTGCAGTGTTAAAAAACATGATACTCTGAGAGGCAGTCCTGCATAGAAAGGCTCCTGTTCACCTAGAGACCTCCCAGAGCATGTTGGGCGTGCATATGCCCATAATCTGAGTCTGGCTGAAGGCTGGGGTGGCTTGCCATGTTTTGGGTGCTGTCTATCTGTTTCTCTCTCTTCACTTTCTCTCTTAGTTATGGAAGAAATAAATAAAAAATAAAGACTTATTAACTTGTAGTACAGGATTAACTACCAAGGAACAAAGAGAATGTTAAAAAATATAGGGAGAGCAAATAACAAGAGCAGCCAGCCACTTTCGGGTCGAGATAAAGTACCTTACGAAGGAATAAATTGGGAAGAAGTTTCATTCTTCCCCAGGGATGAGATCTAGACCTCACTGGAGTTGGCAGGACTTTGGCCTCCGTGATGGTGAAGTTGAGATAGCACAGGCTGGATGTCATAGTCCTCTGGGAAGCCACCGTGGAGGTGTTTCTGGAACTGAGTAAGCACCTTGGATATCACATGCTGCTGTCTACTGCACAGGGCAGGAGCTATCAGAAGAACACACACAGAAACCAGGAACAGAAGCCCCTTCCTCCTTCCGTGTCCCTGCGGCATGCTCTACTCACAGACTTAGCATTATGTCAGTAGGTACGGAAGAGATGTTTGCAGGGTCTAGCTCCAGTATCATAAACCTGTGCTCAGAAGGGAGACTTTGGAGCTGGGAGGCAGTGGATTGGTAGGTGACTGGCACCCTTCATAAATATGTCATCAAGGTAAAGATGCAATATTTTTTGAAAATTTAGGTAGTTTGGCACCAAGATAGACAATTTAAAAACTAGACTATTTAAGAAAATCCAGGACATGTGGCCACTAAACACAAGCATTTCTAATTAGATGATACTCTTTTATTTAAAACCATTTGGGGAATGGGACCAGCAGATGCATTAATGGCTATTTCACTGAACTCCCACATGGCTGACCGCAGTTTGAATCCCAGACCTGGTGGCTTGAAACTCATGTTGGGTGTGTATGTATGTGTGCCCAAAATCTTGAGAGGAGAATGAAGGAGAAGGGATTGCAGCATGGCCATCCCTTCTAGGGGGTGATTTCTTGCTTTCTGTCTGTCTCTCTGTCTCTGTGGTGAGCATACTCGCCCTATAGCAAAAATCTCTCTAAAATAAATAAAATAAAATAATTTAAAAAGATTTGGGGAAGATTACCTATTTCTCTTGAGTTCTGCTTTCCAGTCTTTATGTATTTTTTAAAGTATTATTTTATTTATTTTCATTATTTTTATTTTTTTTTGAAATTGACCAGAAAAAGAGAGAAAGAGAACAAAAATGAGAAGGCAAGCTGCCAGGTCTGGACTTGAACCATGGTCAGCCACATGGGAATCCAGCTGCCCTAACCACCATGCCACCTGATAACTTCACTCTTTTATATTTTAAACAGTGAATACTAAATAGTAGTTGGCCAGTTTTCAGTAAAAATACTATCTTTTTGTCTGCTTCTTTCATCTAAGTTTTACTCACTGCTTTTTTCCCCTCCCTTATAGTGTTTGACTACAGTTACAGAGATTATGTTCTGTCCTGGTATGGAAACCTCAGCAGAGATGAGGGGCAACTCTACCATCTGCTCTCAGAAGACTTCTGGGAAATTGCCAGGCAGCTGCGCCACAGACTGGGTCACGTAGACGTGGTTAAAGTTGTCTGCAATGATGTCGTAAGGGCTTTACTCACTCATTTCTGTGACCTGAAAGCTGCTAATGCCAGGTAACTGCTATAATGTGAATCAGTCCCTTCCCTAGATTAAAATATTTTTCTTATCAAGTAAAAAGTTAAAGTCAAGACCAAACTCTAGAATATTCTGCTTTTTGCTGGCTCGAAAATGTAGACTTATTGGGGGGGGCGGGAATAATTACAGCACTCTCATAGAAAGGTTTTTTGGTACTTTGTCATAGACTCAAGGAGAGAGAAAGAGAAAAGAAAACCTTGCAGGGATATGGCCATGCTATAGTCCCTTCTCCATTCTTCTCTTGGGATTTTGGGCACAGACACACACACGCCCTGTGTTTCTCAAGCCACCAGGTTGGGGACTTGACCCGCTCAGTCAGCCATGTGGATCCAGCCATCTTAACCACCATGACACTGGCTGGCCCCTTGAAAACAAATTTTCAGAAGAACTTAATATTTGGGCTTACTGGCTTTAATTAGAGAAAATATTTTATTATGAAAATAGCTAATATTTAGGCTTGTTATACACTTGTTACATTGAAAGGTTTATCTGTGAGTTTCATGTAAGAATTTGCCTTTGGAAGAAGACTTCCAACAGGCCATATCTGTGCTCATCGCAAAACCTTAATTTTGTAGGTTCATGATAGTGTTGTGTCTTACTCTTGAGTAAGTGTGAGAAGGATGTACTATAGATGGCACTTCTAACTTATAGATAAAGTAGTCTTACTGAAATGAGTGGCCTTCTGCCTGTTTGGATGTGGACTTGTTTGGAGTAGGAATGGGACTTCCTATAGTTAATATGGCCTAGTCCCTCTTTCGGGGGAGAGAGAGTATTTAAAGTACGTAAGAGGGTCAAGTATTTTAAACTACGTAAGGGGATGAGTCAGCACTGGCATTCTTTTTGGGCAGGTGATAACTCATATTCTCTTCTAAGAATTTCTGGTGTGTGAATTTACTTGAAAATAGTCCCTGTTCTGTCCTGTGACGTTGCTTTGCACTGGAACCTGGCCACTTAATGTGGTTTGTAGCCAGTCTCCATTCTCACCAACATTGTCTCTTCCCATGACTTGTCTTCTCTCCCGGTAACTACCAACTCGGGCTTATGGGGCTTATTAGCCGTGATATGCTCACCGTTCTCCAGATTGCTGCCTCAGCATTTTGCATACTTTTTTTTTTTTTAATGTGACTCATAGTGAGAAATACATTTTATATTGTGACCTAGTTTTTATAAGACAGTATTTCTTTATCACGTGGATAACTTTTATATCTTTTGTCCCATAACATTAAAAAAATGTTGTTTGAGACCAACTCAATTTTATTTTCTTATTTCTAAGTCACAACTATGCAGTACTTCTCAGATTTTTTGGTTTCAGGATTACTTTATGTTCTCTTTTTTCATTTTCTTTTCTTTTTTTTTTTTAAGATTTTTGCCATAGGGTATGTGCACTCACTGGAGAAAGAGACAGAGAGAGGGAAATTGAGAAAACACCCCCTGAGAAGATGGCCATGCCCCAGTTCCTTCTCCATTCTCCTCTTGGGATTTTGCGTACACTCACCTGACATGATTTTCAAGCCTCTGTGTCTAGAATTTGAACCTCAGTCAGCCATGTGGGAGTCTAGCACCTTAACCACCATGCTACCTGCTGGCTCTTCTCTCCATTCTTATTGAGAGTTACTGTGAACCTCAAAGAGCTTTCGTTATGTGGGTTATACCTAGTAGGGTGTTGGAACCAGCTTATACTATCAAGCAAAAGCTGATTGTGCACATCTGTCCCTAGCCCTGAGTTCAGTGATAGCATGTTTGTAGTTTGAAATTGGCCACTGTGGGAGTATTTACACCGTGGAGTGACAAATACTCCAAATGAGAGTTTTCTCCCCCGGAAAGACAGTTGTGAACACCTGTTACCTCAGACCTATTGATATTTACCATAATTGATGTTAAAAGTAAGTAACTTTTAGAGTGGAATAGTACACAGCACACTTTCCGTTAGCCAGTGAGTGATGCTGTTACCACACAACATGGAGCCTCTGAGAATGAGCATGAAAAAAAAAATGACATTTTTATATTATGGTGCTGTAGTTGTAACTTCACAGATCCCCCTGAATGGGTCTGGGACACTTAGGGATCTCTGGCCAGTCTTTGAAAACTACTGCTTCTAAAGAAAGTAACGCCCAGTAAGTAAGGACTGGGCTATGTGAATTAAAGAAAATAAGAGGACTGTGCGCCGTGGTCTAGTAGTTAAGAGAACTAGATTCTGCGTTGCAAACCATGCTATTCCACTTGGCCTTGGGACCTTGAAATGCATGCTGAGCACATGTACTTGGTTCCCCAAATCCCGACAGGATGGAGAAATGTAGGAAAAGGGATTGCAGCATGACCACATCCTATTGGGGGTGCTTTCTCCTCTTCTCTCTCTGGCAAACTCCTGTGCCTTATGGTAAACAAACAAACAAAAAATAAGAGAAATAGAACTCTTATGTCATCTTAGGTGTCAGGAACTTCAGACTCCCCTTTCAAAGTGTTCATCAACCCCTTGGAACCCCTTCCATTATATAAAGTGTTCATAGTTCTGCTGGACAGATACACTCAAAGACTTATTTTAATTCATTGGAAGTTGTTTTTTTTTTTTGAGAGGTTTTTGCTATAGGGCGCATGCCATCTCCAGAAAGACAGAGAGAGACAGAGAGAGACAGAGAGACAGAAAGCGAGAAATCACTCCCCAGGAGAGATGGCCACTCTGCAGTCCCTTCTCTTCCATTCTCCTCCTGGGCTCTTGGGCATACATGCACATGTGCCCAGCATGAGTTTAAGCCATCGGCTCTGGGACTCGAACTGCGGTCGACTACATGGGAGTCCAGTGACATAGCCACTACATCAACTACTGGTCCTGGAAGTTTGTTTTAAAGTATTTAAATTATGGTCCAATAGAAGACAGTAGTTTAAGTCAATACTTAAGTTAGAAGACTGATGGATTTAGGGTTGGGAGAAGAACAAATGGTTAGAAAAATTTAGTGTTTTTATGATATTTAATTTTGATGTGAAGAGATTTTTCATTGAGACTCTCTTCTGAAATTACTGCTTTTGTGGATAATAAAGTTATGAGTAAGTCATCAGTTTTCTTATACTAAACATAGCTTTATTTCTCTGGTATCTAGGCTGTGCTTGGATGCTCTAGTGGATGATAAAATAAAGAATAAAGAAAAAAATTTAAATTATCACTGTTCTTTGGATTATGGATATTTGAAAAGGTGCCAGTAGGTCACTGGTGTTTTGCATGCATATGATCACGTCCTAGAGAACTAATGTTACCGGTGTTTTGTGTTAGACCAATCATACGAGACTGGCAGACAATGAGTCTGGGTTTGATGACTGTGTCTGTATCCACCTGCCCCAGGGAAACAGTTGCTTTTGTCCTAGAACTCTCTATTGGTGTGCAGATTTCCATTGTCTGCAAAATGACTGGTAGCCTGGGGAGCACCCAATTGAAGCGGACATTGTCAGACAAAAGAATAATAAATTGCATTAATAAAAACAGCACATCTTCTGGTCAACCGTTAGGCATTTGTGTGGAGGCAGCTTTCCGGTCAGCCTGTGTTTATTTTCAGGCCCTCATTCTGTTGCTGCTTTATGTCAATCCAGATCACATTTAATTCTTGCCTCTGCTTCCTCTTCCTTTTTCCCATCTGTCTTATGTTTCAGGAAAATCTAAAAATGATTGCTTTTATACTATTAATTCAATAGCATCTTTAATTTCATAGTCTCTGTCTTACAATATCTGTATTTAGTTTGCTTGTCAAGTCCTGGCACCCTGTTTGAGGGGTAAAGTGCTTTAGTTACATATTTTCTTTCTTTATATCTGAATTATTTTCCCTTTCACCTTTGCAGTTTCTGAGTATGGTATAATGCAGAGTCTGGACTTTAGAGTTAGAAGTCGAGAGTTATATGTGCCATTTATTACTTAGGTGACTTTGACTGAATAGTCAGATCATTCAGATCTTGATTCGTAGTGATGATATCTACTCTTTGGTGTAGATAGAGTTGGTGGGAAGATTGCGTATTATGGTACATGTGAAACTTATAAAAGGTTAATGTTCTTGGGGGCTGGCAGTTGGCGTGATGGATAAGGGTGCTGGACTTCCACATGGCTGACCGTGGTTCGAGTCCTGGACCTGGTGGCTTGCTTTCTCACCTTCTCTCTTTCTGTCCCTCTCTGGTCAAATTAAAAATTAATCAATAAAAATAATAAAGCTAGTTAAAATAATTCTTAAAAAAATAAAAAAAGGTTAATGTTCTTTGACTCACTCAAGGAATGAGATCCTAGGGTAACTAGCAGGAATTGTGGTAAATAAAGGTTGATCTGCACCAGGAGGCTAGCTAGACCTCTCCTGATCCAGAAGTAGCTCTATGCCTCATGATCCTTCCCTGGTTTCTGAAGTGACGCTTGTGGTCCACTTACTAGATGGCATCATCGGAGCATCCTACTTGGAGTTAAGAGACGGATTGCAGGGAAGCATTCATTTTTCCTTTTCCATAGGTCAAGCTTGTTTGACCAACCATCTGGCGGTTTTTCCCTAGCTAAGCTCAAGGAGGGGAAGGAACCAGTGGCAGCCTGAAGACCACACTTCTTTTATTATTGGCCTTCCTTTGGTATGAAGAAGGGAACACTTTCTTCTTCAGTAGGGATTTTGATGTTATTTAAAGAAGCTTATTTTGTAAAACTGGTTTTGGGCTGATTTTTTCTAATAAATAATAATAAATATATATAGTTCTTAAAGAATTTTTTAAAATTTAATTTTGTTATTTATTTACTTTAATTAATTTATTTAATTTTAATTTGAGCAGAGAAAGACACAGAAAGAGAGAGAGGGAAAGTGAGAAAGCAAGCTGCCAGATCTGGACAGGCATATGAGAGTCCATCACCCCAACCACTATGCCGTCAGCTGGCCTCCAAATATATATCTTAAAGCACTGCCTTTCAAAGTGCTTGATGTGACAATGGAGCAGCATCTTATCTTATTTATCTTATCTTACTGTATTGAAATATCAACTCTGACAGCATAACTGGAATTTAACATCACTGAAGATGCTGTCTTTTTAAAGTCAGCATATATAGGAGATCTTCACAAAGTTCATGGAATACGTGTACTATGAAAAAATTATACATGGATTTCAATTTTTTTGCACTAAAATAAACTCGTACTTAAAGTCTATTTTCCACAAATTTTTTGAAATCTCATATCAGTGTGTGCTTAAACACTTAAAATCTCTTTTTATGTTCTTGGCTTTGCACATTTGGATAGAATTCCTATAGTTTATTATAGACGACAAAGAGGAAACATTTTCTTTCTTTTTTTTTTTTAGTGCACATACTCTAGAAACTAGTCTTCATTCTCCAGTGCAAATCTCAGTTAACTCTTGAGAAGCATTGGTTATTAAGGCTCTAGTGTTTGTTTGTGTAGTATCCTATATGTTTCTCTCCCTCTGTTGAGTATTTTTTTTCAATATTGGGCACTAGTTACCATAAGAATCTCTGATACTTTGCCTTTTTAAAAGTATTTCTTATCTTTATTCAGAACAAGTGAGAGAAAGAGAGGAGCATTCTCTACAGGGGTCTAGTCACACTGTGGTCCCCTTCCTCCATTCCTCCAGGCCGTCAGAACCTAAGGACTTGGGTGTGTGCCTGGCGTGTTTCAGGCTGACCTGCCAGAGATGTGAGGGGCAGTTGTCATGTGGGATCTGGCTTTTCTTGAGCAATGTATCACCACCATTGCACCACAAAGCCTGTTTTACACTTTGCCTCTTTCCTGGAAAATACTAGAAAATTTGGTGTCCAAGATTTTTTTTTTTCCCTTCCCTAGAGGGTGTGTGCACTTTGCCAGAGAGAGATAGACAAAGGGAGCGGGAGGAAAGCATTTCTCATGGGAGTGGTCAAGCCACGATCCCCTCTCATCCATCTCTCTCCTTTTGGAATTTTGAGCATGCATACACACGTGCCCAGCATGTTTCTCAGGCCACTGGGTTCAGGACTCAAAGTATGCAGTTGATCATGTGGGATCTAGCTGCTTTAACCACCAGGCCACAGAGCTGGCCTAAGACCTTTTTTTTTTTTTTCTTTTTTTTGAATTTCTATCAAGATACTGTGGAAGAGAGAAGTAGAGAACGTTCTACTTTCCATACCTTTTAATTTAGATCGTCAAAATTAATGGTCTTGGGGGAGGTTTGTGCTGACAGAAAAGTCTGCAACCAAGGCTTGCAAAATGGACTGGAAAATACTTGGAGTTCAGTGTAAGAAGGTTAAAGGAAATAAATATTCACTGGGCTCATTGTCTGCCAATTTGGGTGGAAATGAGTTTATGTCATTTCATGTATAAAGGCAGATGTATACCATATAATTTATTTATATGAAAGTTTATTTTTGTAGTGTACATATTAGTCATCAAGTCTTTTGACAGAGGTATGTTTTTAAAGAATTTGTATGTAATAAAACCATAATGTCTAGGATTTTGTCAAGACATGAATGCAGCACACTTTTCATTATAAATTACAAGGAAAAGAAAATGCTTAGCAGTGTTAACAGAGCGAGTGTGAGTGGGATTATCCTACAGTTAACTTTAGATGACCTAGTGTGGTTCTCAATTTAAACCTTGTGGTTCTCATATAAACTCTAAAATATTAATGTTAAAACACTGATAGGAATTCTAACATGAATGAAAATAGTGTATCTTGTTGGTTAAAAAACAAAAAGAAAATACTTGGGAGGCTTTTGGAAGGCAATTTGCCATCAAATTATGTACCATCAAGTGGACCCTCTACCGACTAGAAATACCCTTAACTATCCTGGGGTGTTCCAGTTGGGAAAGCTGACTGATGACTCTGGTTTTGCTTTGTTAGTCTCTTTTAAAAAATAAAGCTGTAGGTAACATTTAAGAAGACATCTAGAAAGCATAAAATTAATATAAGTAAAGAAATATTCATGGGACCAGCAGGTGGCATGATGGTTACGTCACTGGACTCCCAGGTAGTTAACCACAGTTCGAGTCTCAGACCCAGTGGCTTAAAATTCACACTGGGCATGTGTGCGTGAGTGCCCAAAAATCCCTAAAGGAAAATGGAGGAGAAGGGATTGCGACTGGGCCATTCCCCCTGGGGGGGTGATTTTTTTGCTTTCTGTCAGTCAGTCTGTCTCTGTCTCTCTGGTGAGCACATGTGTCTTATAGCAAAAATCTCTGAAAAAAAAAAAAGAAAAGATAAATATTCATATCTTTCTGGGTTGTTGCTACAATTTGGAAGTTTCCTGTAATACCTGATACTACTTAAGGTGGTTTTGACTTGGTTTGAAATCCCAAACAGCCATGAATTTGCCCTTACTCTAGCATAAGCTTTCCAAATTAGTCTATGATTGAAGAAGTTATTGATGTTGGGGAGGTGGCAGAGTTGTACATAACTGAATTTTTTCTAGAAAGTTCTTTCTTTCTCTTCTCTTCATTTACGAATATTTTTAGGCATGAAGAACAGCCGAGGCCTTTTGTGTTGCATACCTGCTTGAGAAATTCAGTTGATGAAGTAAGATTTCTACAAACGTGCTCTCGGGTTCTGGTGTTTTGTCTTCTCCCTTCAAAGGACGTCCAGTCTCTCAGTTTACGTATAATGCTCGCAGAAATTCTCACAACAAAAGGTAGACTTACAAAATTGGTATTACTAATACAATAAATGTGCAAAGTGGTGTGCTCTGTACTAATGCAATAATACTTTCTATGTTTTTTCGTGCAAAAATGTGTCACAACTTTTCCTTTAACTCAGTACTTTGTTATAAGACCTGTGTAGACATTGCACCCTACAGGTGCCATGGGGCATGAAGGAATTGAAGTTGCGTTCTTTCCAAATTTCAAGTTTAAATGCTACTCACTTGGCCAAGCATGATAAATTCATATTGCCATGTGTACAGTCTATTCTGGGAATGGGAATGCCAGTCCTTAGGTTCTCCACAGGGAAGCATTTACTTGATATAACTTTTGAGTTACCTAGGTCAGTAATGCATGTATTAATGAAAATATGTGTGTGTTAAACTCTGATTAGCATTTACTTAAATGTGTTCAGTGTAAGAGTCATTGATAACGCTTATGCATGATTTTGTGAGTTTAGAATAAATAAAAAGGAACTGTACCACAACATAATGTGATTATTTGAAGAAGAGTTAACTATATTCCAGGAAATACTTAGCTAGGATAAGAAAAACAAAAAAGAAAATATAAGCAAAGAGAGAAATTTTCCCTATCTTAGAATGTCGAATAAATAATACTGCATTTGAGATGCTCTGATTGAATATCTCATTTATTGTCTGAGGCTTAAACAACTGTGCCCATCAACTGATATAACCAGAGACAGTTAAAGGGGAACTTTTTAATCTAAAGTTACTGGGATGGTTTTGTAATAGTGTCACTGACTTTATTTATTTATTTATTTATTTATTTTTGCCATAGGGTGTGTGTGCTTGGCCAGAGAAAGACAGAGACAGAAAGAGGGAAAGTGAGAAATCATCCCCCAGAGGGAAGGCCATGCTGTAATCCCTTCTCCTCCATTCTCCTCTCAGGATTTTGGGCACGCATGCACACGTGTCCAGTGTGAGATCCAAGCTACCCTGTCTAGGACTTGAACTGGTGGGAGTCTAGCGCCTTAAACACTATCCCATATGCTGGCCGTATCATCATTGACTTTTTAACATCCCACCCCTCCCCACAAGGTGTGCTTTGACCAATGGGAAAATGTTTATTCTTTTTCTTTTGCAGACAAATGGGTCAAAATGTATTGAATCTTGTAAAAGAAATAAAAGATAAAAATCACTGTACTTAATTTTCATGACTTTTTTTTAGCAACTTGGGTTCCAAATGAGTTTCTTTCATTATTCCTTTACATTTCACTAATTTATTAAAATGACCTTTTGATTATATTCATAGTAACATATCGAGAGGGATAGGCACCTCTGTACAGATTTGAGTACTTGAATTGTTTGTAATTAAATTACCCATTCGGCTAATTGAAAATATTTCTAAACTGTAATTTTAATGATATGATAAGAAAACAATTCCCTTAGAGAGGAAATTTTTTTTCACTGGTGCTTTCTTCTTTCTTACTACAGTCTTAAAGCCTATAGTGGAGTTATTGAGTAATCCAGATTATATTAACCAAATGCTGCTTGCACAGTTGGAGTACAGAGAACAGGTGAATGAACATCACAAGAGAGCCTACACCTATGCTCCTTCTTATGAAGAGTTCATCAAGCTTATTAATAGCAACTCTGATGTGGACTTCTTGAAACAATTAAGGTATTTGGCCTTCAATTACAGAACAACAATAGCTACTGATTATCATCTGCTGCCTAGTTAGGTTGAAAAAAAAATGTGGTTGTCAGGGAAGCAGAAATAAAAGAAGTCCATACATTCTACCATTTAGTGACAGCTAAGCTTATCCAGTTTTCCCTTAGTAGTGGAATTAGAATTGTTTTCAAAGCACTAGACTTTTCGAATAATAAGGTTATAATAGATTGAAAGTGCTTCAGTTGTTAAGATACTGCTTAGCTGCTCAGTTACCTTAGAAAAGCATTGGAAGAATATGATGTGTTTTTTTAAATCATGACGTAGAACAATGTATCATTTTTCTTAGAAAATACAGAGGGTCAGTTCTGGAACCAAGGGGTCCTTAATTAATTGTTTCAGAAAAACACATTTTAAAAATACTGCAAGAGTCTTTTATGTAGGGAGCATAGTCTCCCTTATCTTACTTGTGATAGTTTAGGGGCGAATATGTGCTTTTGTGTATTTATTTTTCTCTTTGCAGTATATACACATGCAGCATGATTATATAGCATTCTCTAGTTTATAGATTTTCCAGACTTCTGTTTCTCTACTTACCCTCCTCCTAGTGTACCCAAATAATAATACATAGAGTGGAAAGGAAACTGTGGTATGTCAGTTTTGCTTTTCGTTAGTAATTCTGGTAAATGACTGATAGAAAAGAAAAATATTGGCTGAAATTGGGTCTTTGAGCTATTAGAGAGTTTTAGGTTTGGCACATTTGCCTTTGAACTAGGGTTAGCATTAAAGCGACTTATGCTGCTTGATTTTCTGATCTGAATAATGTATCATCTAAGAGGCAAAAATTATAGGTAATATTGTATTTTTAAATTAAATCAAATTTATTATTATTTTTTAATTTGCTGTAGGGCACATGTATTCACTAGGGAGAGAGAGAGAGAGAGAGAGAGAGAGAGAGAGAATGAGAAAGCAAGCTGCCAGGTCTGGGACTGTGGTCAGCCGTGTGTGAGTCCAGTGCCTTAACCACTGCACCACCTGCTAGTCCCCAGGTAACACTTAATTTTACAGACTATGTCATATGTTAATCTAGGCCTCACAAATACATATATGTATTTTAAAGAATTTTTAAATTTAATTTTATTCATTGTCATTATATATAGAGAGACAGCAAGAGAGAAGGAAAGTGAGAAAGCAAGCCGCCAGGTCCAGGACTCAAACCATGATCAGTCATATGGAAGTCTAGCCACCTCAACCACCATGCTACCTGCTGGCCCCCCACAAGTATATTAATATATGACATGTTTGATTTTATGGCATTGTTTAAAAGTAATTTTTTGAAATATAATATCTGAAGATTTTATTAATGCTTTTTCTTTGCATAAATAATCTTGACTAGGCTATATGGTAGTCATTTATTATAAATTGTGACTATGCCTGAATCTGGAAATTCCTTTTTGGGAACTATGACACTTGAACTGATAAAGATTGCAAGATCCACATATTCCAGGTTTGTAGTCTGAGGCTTACAGGCTGTACTCACTCAAAGGGCAACCTTTACTGTGCTTCTAATTCCTTTCCAAGTGTTGTTCCAAAGGAAGTGAGAGAGCTTGTAATGCTCTCTTGTCACCGTCTCACATAGCCTATTTGATAACTCCAAGTGAGTTTAATAATAATCTAGTCGAGGGACCAGCAGTTAGCTTAATGACTGTGTCGCTGGACTCTCATGTGGTTGACTGCAGTTTGAGGCCAGCACCCGGTGACTTAAACTCACACCGGACACATGTGCGTGCATGCCTAAGATCCTGAGAGGAGAATGGAAGAGAAGGGATTGTGGTGTGGCCATCCTCCCTGGGGGGTGATTTCTCACTTTCTGTCTCTCTGTCTCTCTGTCTGGCAAGTGCATACACCCTCTAGCAAAAAAACCTCTCCAAATCATCAACATCATCATCATCATCATCATCATCATCTAGTCGATAGTGGCGGATTAAATAAATGGATACTGTTCTTCCAAACTTGTGGATGAGTGTTCTACTTTGTGTCCCAGACATAAGATTCTAGCACTGCAGACATAATAACTAGATAATGCTGGTAACAAAAAGATGTCAAAAGAGATTTTTAAATTGGAACTAATTTATAAAATTATTATTATTATTATTTTATTTTATTTTATTTTTGCCAGAAGGTACTTGCATTCACTAGAGAAAGGCACAGAAACAGAGAAGGAGAAAGTACCCCTCAAACAGCATGGTCACACTGCAAACTCTTCTCCATTTCTCCATCCTGTCAGGATTTTTGGCACATCTGCACGCACGCTCTGGATTTTTTTCAGCTGCCAGGGCCAGGAGTCAAACTACGCAGTTGGCCATGTGGGATTCAGCTCCCTTAACTACTGTGCCAAGAGGCTGGACCAGAGCTATTTTTTTAAATGTTAACTATTAGTTCTCCAGCACCATCAATCCTTTTGTATCTGAGCAGTTTCTGTATCACAGGTTGAATGACTCAGCCTAGCTGCAGTGAACATGCTGTTAAGACGCTGCGCTCTGCAGGCTGTGACCACGTGGGATGCCTGGGTTCAATTACTGGTTGAACCTGAAGTCCAGGCATGGTGGTGCATCTGTTATCTCAGGACTCGGGAAGGTTACAGCAGAAGGTTCACGTGCTAAAGGGCTGGTGCGGGCAGCATAGAGAATCCTGTCTGAAACAGTGAGGTGTGGGGTATATGCCTGTGGTCCCAGCTATTTGGGAGGCTGGGACAAGAGGATAGTGACACAGAGAGACTGTCTTTAAGTAAAAGAATGGTTAATGAATCTTAATGAGAATTCATGATTTATCTTCTTTAAATGCATTAGCCAAAGGCTTAGAACTGATTGTGGCAGTTCTTCACCTAGTAAATAAAAAGTAGCTCAGCAAGAATTACCCTTTAAATAATAAAACGCCAGGGTATTTACTGCTGTAGGATGTTGAACAGCCTGCACTTGTTATGGTAGGAGTATTGTTAATTGCCTTAACCTGAGTGGTCAAAGATTACACTAGAAATTCTGATTTTACACCCCCTCCCAATAACAATGAAGCACAAACAGTATGAGCACTTAAATCCTTCTCGAAAATCCCTCCTCCTCCTCTTCCTCTTTCTTTTTTTGGAGAGGTTTTTGCCATAGGGCGCGTGTGCTCACCAGAAAGACAGAGAGAGACAGAGAGACAGAAAGCGAGAAATCACCCCCCAGGGGGGATGTCCATACTACAATCCCTTCTCCTCCATTCTCCTCTTGGGATCTTGAGCACCCACACACACCTGCCGGCGTGAGTTTAAGCCACCGGGTCTGGGACTCGAACTGTAGTTGACTACATGTGAGTCCAGCGATATAGCCCTTACACTAACTGCTGGTCCCAGATTCCTTCTTCTTGATCTCGTAAGTAGGGCAACCGCACATGGGGCGGGGGGATGGGGTGGTCTTAGGAGGCAGACACTCTCTTGAGCACTGAGAGACTTAAAGGGCTGTAAATTGCTGGACTGTAAGAATGCATATTTAAGAAACTGAGATATAATTACATCGTAAAATTTGCTGTTTTAAAATGTACTGCTTGGGACCAGCAGATGGCAAAATGGTTATGTTGCTGGACTCCCGCATAGTTGACTGCTGTTAGAGTATCATACCTGCTTAAAACACACACCAGGCGTGTGTGCCCAAGATCCTGAGAATATAATGGAGGAGAGGGAATTGTGGTATGGCCATTCCCCCTAGGGGGTGACTTCTTACTTCCTGTCTTTCTGGTGAACATATGTTCCCTGTAGCAAAAAAAAAAAAGAAAGGAAGGAAGGAAGGAAGGAAGGAAGGAAGGAAGGAAGGAAGGAAGAAAGAGAAAAAGAAAAAGAAAAAGAAAAAGAAAAGAAAATCTAGTACCTAGAGGTTTTTGGCACATGCAAAGACTGCAACTACTATTGCTGTCTAAGTACAGAATATCTTTATCACCCATTAGCAGTCACTTTCCATTCTATACCTCCCACAAGCCCTTGGCACCCACTGATCTACTTTCTGACAATATAGGTTTGCCTGTTGAAGATAGTTCATAAAAAATGGAATCATGCAATATGTAACCTTTTGAGCCTGGCTTTTTTCACTTAACATGTTCTCAAGGTTCATCCATATTGTAGTATGTGTCAATTCTGCATTCTTGTACAGAATATCTTTATCACCCATTAGCAGTCACTTTCCATTCTATACCTCCCACAAGCCCTTGGCACCCACTGATCTACTTTCTGACAATATAGGTTTGCCTGTTGAAGATAGTTCATAAAAAATGGAATCATGCAATATGTAACCTTTTGAGCCTGGCTTTTTTCACTTAACATGTTCTCAAGGTTCATCCATATTGTAGTATGTGTCAATTCTGCATTCTTTTTTTGGCTGAATAGTGTTCAGTTTATGAGTATACCATTTTTTGTTTATTCATTCATTAGATAGTGGACAGTTTGTGTTGTTTTCACGTTAGAGAGTGCCTTTTAGGGACCAATGAGTATTATCAGTGGGTGTTGATAAATTAGAGTGAATAAGTATTGTTGACTCCTAACTTCTCTCTCCCATCACCTCCCCCCACAGTGTACTTGCTGCCGAGGAGTGTTGGAGTGCAGACCCAGAAGGAATATTCCTTTTGTTCATTCTTCCTGTTCCATATATTGTGTTACCTTGTGCATCCTCCACCTTACCATTAGGTTTTGTGTTTCTAGCAGAGTTTAGAGTCAATAGGGAAGGCATTTGGAAATACTTTGGTGGTTAGTTACCAAGCTCTGAAATTATGTAGTACATTAGGAGCAAAAAAAGTACATTTTCAGATTTAAATTGGTAGAAAGACTGAGTCCATTTGGAATAACTATTCTTCTGATTTCTATTTCTTTATAAAGCTTTTAGTTCCTCATGTACATCCTGAGAAGTGTACTGATAATTTCTAGAAAGGCTGAAAATTCTCCTGTAATGAGGAATGTAAACTTTCCTTTGAAAGAATCAGATGCATCT